CTTTCTGCTAAACTTGCATTGGAAAAATTTTCTTTTTCTTTTTTTTTTTTTTAAGCAAAGGAACAAATAATTTTGCCCAATAAGCAAAATGGCCAATGAATTATCCATTTCAATTATAAAGGATACCCCTCACTTATTTTCATCTTCTCCGTTCTCTCATAGCAAAAAGTAGGATATTTTCTTCTCCATTTTATAATTTGAAAAGAAATTTAATAAATGTCTCACTATATAAATTTCTATTGCTACATGAGAAATCGTTTTTTTCTTTACTACAAAGTACAAAATATATGTATTAAGACTTAAGAAAATATATTAGATGCTTGAACTTCTGAATTTAAATAAAAAATGATAAGTTCGAGCTGTATATGAGGTTTTTGGTGGTCAGGTGTCGGGGTGTATATGAGGTGATCCGACTCGTGAACTCGGTGAGCTGAGTTAACAAAAACTCAAACTCGAACTCAAAATTTTTAAGTTCAAGTTCGAGCTTTCTGACGTATCGAACCCGAACTCATTCTTAGTTGTTCTTAGTTGTTTGTGAGCTTGCCGGCTTTATTTATTTAATTTTTTTAATTTTAATTTAATTTTTTAATTTAATTTTAAATATAATTAATATAAAATTAAGTAATAAATTTATATAAATAATTTAAAATATACCCAAAATGCGCTCGAACTAGAGCTCGAGCTTGACAAGCTCGGTTCGCTTGAGCCCGACAAGCTCTCAACACAACAATAATAAGAACATATTTAATAATGTTAAAAGGTCCATGAATTCACAACAAATAGAGCTTGATTTCAAACACTATAAATTCGACAATCATGGATTTGAAGGGCATATGAAAATTAATAGTAAAAAAAAATATTATTACATCCTCAACAAAAAAAATTAAGTATGTTCTTAGCTTTTTGCATATATATATATAAAACCTTGAATATTCATAATTCAACCAGAAGGCACTCTACAACAATACCAGATTACAACTCCCAACACACCCGAAAACATAAATATATATTTATATCACAAATCCTCGACACCGTGAAGCCGAACATTCAATCTCCGAAGCCAAATTGAATGAAGAATCATGTGAAAAACATCGTACCTCTTCGGGGTCAAATTCACCTCAAAATGCCTCCGCACCGTCACACCCCTCCTCTGCATCCTTATATACTGCCTCGTCGAAATCCCCAAGAGAATATTCCTCAAGTTCGGAATATCCCCCACCGGAATCTCCACCGCAAACGACTTCCAATTCAACACATCGCTAAAAGGCGGCACATAGTGGTCCTTCACGAGCACCGGCACACACCCCGTGTACAACGCCTCCACCATTCTAGGGCTCGCCACCTCGTATCCGCTAGGGCAGACGCAATACTTGCTCTTCCTCATCAACGCCGAGTAAGACACGTTTTTCGGGAGGTACTGGTGGATCTGGACGTCTTTGTCCTTGCTGTTCTCCCAATGTTCTAGAAGGGCCGGCCTAATCGGGCCGTGGAGCCCGCCCGCGAAGAAAACGAGTACGGGCCGTCTCGAGGGGGAGGGCCCACCGATTAGCCCGTTGGTTCGTCCACCTGGCAGGTTGATCTCTGGGATTGAAACGTCTTTGGATGGTTTGAATCCTTCTGTGGTGTTCGCGTTGCATAAAGCCCGAATCGAGTTGTTGAATAGCTCCGGAAGTGACTTTGAAAGTTCGGGCCCCTACAATAAATACCGATTAGTCTACAATTAGAGATCAAATATTTTATAAAGGGCCGCCGTTAAAACCTTTAATATAGGAGTTTATTGCATAATAGCTCATTTCTCTATAATTACAGGTCGGCCCAAAAAATTATAGTAACAATTACAAAATATCAAATAAGACGAAACAAAGCTATATAGTCTACAAAATAATTAATTAATTACATACCCAATCATGGCAAGAGAGCATGAAATGATCCGAACCGAGGCTCCGATTCCAATAGGGATATTTTGCAGCAACAAGCTCAACATAGTCGCTCACTGTTTGTTTCATCGGGAGCCAATGATCGCGAGAATTTTTGTCAAATATGAAGTGAACTATTGATGTCACACTAAAGGGAAGGAAGAAAACATGTGCCTTTTCGGGATCTCTTGTCCGAAATTTCGAAATTTCCAACTTGTATATAAAATTTCCCTCCATCGAATAAATGCTCCCACACGGCCCATTGTGAAATATCGGGTGCTCTCCTTCTTCGTACACGAATACCTTAAAGTTCTTTTCCATTTCAAGGTAACTCCTAAAATTTATTAAAACAAAAAACGAAAAAAAAAACATTATTTCCACATAGACAAAATTCAACTAGTATTAAATTGAAAAAAAAAATGTAACGTTCTTTTTTTTCATACCTATGAAAAGCAGAGGGATTCCAATAAATTGGGCCCGACGGGACATAATCAGGGTCGTGAATCACACTTTCTTTTCGCGCATCTCTAATTGCAGTTCGGGATTGTTGCATTTTGGCCTCGAGAATTTGTAAATTGCTAAATCGTCTATTTATTCCCGGGCTTAACGGAAGAACGCGACTATCACTCGATTTATTTGTTGCGTTCATTAAATCGTCGTTTTTCTTTGTCACCTGTTTACGGTTGACGATTAGCATAAATATACAATCCCACGATCAGATTGTTGCACAAATTGAAGCAAATTATCAATTTAGATACAATTCATCTACCAACAAACAATTCTCAATCAAGCAAATTAAGACAATTCTTTTATCCCACAAAAAGCAACAAATTAAAGCACCTTATACAAATAGTAACAAATAAAAACGTATCCTCGAGTAAAAAAAATTCTCCGAAAACCGTAAATAAACAAAGGAATTAAGTAGAAATTAAATTTCGTACTTTCAACTTTTTAGCACTATAGTTCTATCACTTTCTTCAACATCAATAATCGAATATATCTTTTTAGGAAGTAAAATAGACATTTATAATAATTAGTGGTCTTTTTGGGAAGTTTGGTGTAAATACAAATACACCCCTCAAGTTTTGATAACTGTATTTGGCATCCTTGACGTTTGGGACCATCTAACAAACAGACCCACATCAACCAAGCTTCTTTTTTTATTTATAATCTTTTTTAACGGAAAATGATGACATCAGCAAAATAAAAAAAAAAAAAAATTCAATGTTGTCATTTGCATTTCAAGATTGGATTTTATTCATGACATGATTTGAAGATTAAAAATCAGAAATTGAAATTTTCTTTTTTAATTTCAAAACAGAAATTGAGAAGAATTTGGAAGAGTTATTAATTATTCAAATAAATAATAATAATAATAATAATAATAATAATAATAATCTTCTTGAATAAAATTAAAGTAAAGAACAACGTAAGGGATACGGTTCTCACCGGTGGTTCGGCGGCGGAAACTTGAATAGAAAGCGGCGGCGCGGCGGAGCGGTGGAGGTTGTAGTCAACAACGAGGGCCTCCTCTCTTTCTCCGCCGCCGCCGACCACCGTCTGCCTCCACTGGAAAGCGTCGATACCGCCATCGGCCGGCGGCGGAACAAAACCCTGAGAAAAAGGGGCACGGGGCGGGTAAACGGAGCCCCAAGCCCATGGATAAAAACCCGAATCAAAGAACCAATTAGAAGAATTATAACCCATTAAAACCACCATCACCGAAACCACCATTAACGGCAGCATAAACCCCAAAAGCCTCGTTGAAGACGACGCCGTTTTCCACCACGAACACACACTTTTCCTGCACCCCTCCATCTCTCTCATCAACACCCCCACCCCCCACTTCACACACACACACACACAAAAAACAAGAACTACTCTTTAATTATATATAAATATATAGAAGAGTGTAAATTACAAAGATTAAAAGATTTGTTCAATCTTGATTGCTAAAAATCAACCATGGTCCTGATTCTCTCTTTACTTGCTTTCTCTTTCAAATTTTTACGAATATGGATATAAAGTTAATGAAATACAACGCACGCAGTAGTGTGTGTTTGTGTGTGTAATTTCCCTGCTGTGTTGTTTTTCTTGGGAAAGTGGGCGTAAAAGGAAGACTGTGAGCTGTGTTTTCTTTTTTTTCTTTTTTTTGTTTTTGGTTCTAGAGAGAGAAAGAGAGAGTAGAGAGAGAGTAGAGAGAGAGCAATTGGTGAGAGAGGTGGCTGAGCACCGCCACGCCTGTACTCGCCAAGCGTCGCCTGGTTTCGGCCTATATATTCGACTTTTTCTTCATGCAAAATTACGACTTTTTCCTATTTCCGATTCTGCCCCTTTGGTTTTATTTTTGCTACTCTACCCCCCACGCGCACCCACCCTCGGGTTGTTGTCTACTCGCTCCCCAACGTGTGATTTGGGGGTGATGGTTTAAGTTTTCCATGAGCTGGCTGTGTCGTGTAGCGAGTAGATGAGGGGGCGGCGCGTGAATATATATCGGAAAATCTGTGAAATTTGTTAGGGTGGGGGAATTAATTAATTAATGGGATTTGGGATTGGGATATGTAGCTAATTAATTGTATTAACTGCAGTAGTGCTGTTGATATCTGATCTTATATATAAAAAGAAGATATTTTGACCTACAACCCTAAATCTAAACCTAGAGGTACTTTTGACAATTCATATGTTAGCAGTTTTTTCATTTCTCAATAAGTAAAAAAATAAATAAAAAATGCCTCCAATTTGTACAAAATTGAATACACGATAAATATATAAACTGAATCTCGATCTTTCTTCAACGGTTGCAGCAAAAACTAAACACACGATCTTTGGTTAACCTCTGCAACCACGATCTTCATCAAGGACACGATCTCATCTCAATTCTTTATATCATCGTAGAAATTTTATAGATTCCCTGTGAGATTCCATCGGCTTTTGACATCACTGCTTAATAGTTAATTCCCTTCTTTATCTCCCACAAACACAATATAGAGTTTGCGGTGGTAATGATGCTCCATTCTCAATATTCTTGCTTATCAATAGGTTCAAACACTTCTATTTCCTTGCAAATCATTTATTGTCGTATCTGATTTAGATTTATGTATTCTTTTCCCTTGCTCTGTTATTTTTTTATTTTTGTTTTTTAGATACATATTTTGTTTAAGCTTGCTTAGAACATATGGTTTGTGTTTTCTTAATTTTGTTTCTTTCCACTGCAGGTTAATTTTTTCTTTCCCCTTTCATCGACAATTAACAACCGACGTAGAAGGTATATCTTCTTTGCTTACAATCTCCCATAGTAGCCATTTTCTTAACATATTCAAATTTTATGTTGTTTATAGTGGTTTAAAGTTTGTGGAATGTATTTTGCTTTCTTGCAGGTTTGTTAAAACACATAATTTTTCCACTGTATGTTCCTTTTTCTTCCTCCAAAAATTTGCGAAGTTCTAATTACTTACGCGACTTCAATTTTGTATCAAAGTTTGCGAAGTTCCATAGCAGCATTTTTTCATTGAAATATCGTTGTTGCCCTCATATTAATTTCTGAGATGATGTTCATTATTGGATAAGTTGTCGATTCCTGATCATTTATACCTTATCCTTTGAAGATCATTTTTTTGTTTTTCTTCGATTGGTAAATGGGATTATGGAGATAAGCATTGGGTTCATGGATTGCGGTTTTGTTGGATGCCTCCACTTTGTATTTTGTCAGTGGTTTAAACCAACTTTTCTATTTGAGTTCAATGTTTTCATCTCTATAGTCGTATTCTTCTGCCTGCATTTGTTTCGTATTTATACCTTTTAGTAGCTAAACAATTAATGCTTATTGATTGCATATTTCTTCGAGTTCGTTCTCATCTTCGTGTTTGTTTCAAACCACCTCATACCAAGCGTTTTGAAGGGAAAAAAAGCATAATGAACGACATCATATTTTCAGAATAAACCTGAATATTTCTTTGACTGCCCCTACCAGTTCTTCGACATCATATTATTTTGCAAAACTGATTTAATCAGATATTTTGGACATATATATAATGAGTGATTTGCTCAGATTTCACTATTTTTTTAGTGTTAACCGTTACAGAGAATTACTTTGGATTTTAATGCAGTGAATATACCCATTTTCTTTTAGCTGTACATTTTTTATTTATAACTGGATATTTTTATGCCCATCGCTTACCCCAGTTACAACCCTATACCAGATTAACTTCACACACCCCGTACAACTGCCTAGACAATCTTACTTATTTAAAAATTGGGTAGTTTTCTCTATTTTTTCTTCTTTTTGGGCAGCTTTCGGAGAATTTGTTTCATGCAATTTGTCCGATTTTGTTAAGTTTAATTTATTTTTATCATATTTTAGTTTTTCTATGCTATAATTATCTATTTATCTGTTCGTCATTAGTGATTACCTATACATTTCTTATTATGATCAATGTTTACGGCTTATTTGTAGCGACTATAGTTATGTACTATGTTAAAAAATAACACTTAAAAAAGTCCATTAATTAATAGTCATGAATTGAAATGCAATTTTACATGTGTTTATTGTGAAAAAAAATTGGATTCTATAAATAACATACCTCATTACCTCTGAGGCAAAAAAAATTGTTGCTGGACAAATTAATGCAATATATTTGGCGTGCGTAAAGGACAAATAATTTGTCCCATGCATCGCACGGGGCAATCTTATATATAAAAAGAAGATATTTTGACCTATAACCCTAGACCTAAATCTAAAGACAATTTTGTCATTTAACTTTTTTATGCTTTTATTGGGTAGTTTTTTCTTTGATTTTCTTTTATTTATTTATTTATATTTTGGTAGTTCCAGGGGCAATTTTTTGTTTCCACATTCTCCCTCTCGGTTCTTTGTTGCACAATATCACAACATTTAAAAAATAAAAAAAAATCAAACCTTCACACACGATAAGCAAAACTTTTGTTTGTGTTTTTTTTTCCTGAATTTCATACACGAAGTGCCTACACACATTGGCATGTCTTAAGGATCTTGGAGCGGAACCTACATACATAATGAGCATCTTGAATGTCAATTAAAAGATACACAATCGGCACTTAGAATTGCTAATTATCAAAAGCTTTCAATGGTGATTTTCCTTTAAGATGGACCAAAAGCTTAAAGGATTGACTCTTAATGGTCATTTTTCTAGACACAATGGAGCAAGAGATGACGAGTGATGATATATTGGACTTTGATAAACTATGGAGCATCAGGTTTGATCGCTTTATCGTTAAAACTGTTGTTAATTGTATTCACCAAGTTTTCAATATTATTTATCCATCTATTTACGAATTTTCTTATAATGTGATATGTTCTCAATTATTTAATTTCAATAAATATATAATTTTAGAACATTTAATATTTTCTTATTATTTTAGGTACTGGTATAATTCCACTCCACTCTAATTACAGTGTTTCTAATTTTTTTTTTTTTTTGGATTTTTCTTATCCCCTCTAACTACCACCTACTAACTCGAAGTTAGAACACCATGATCTCAATGTAAGCAATTGTTTTTTACAAGTAAACAATACAATTATTTATTTAGAAGAAGAAGAAAAAGAAGAAGAACAAGAACAAGGAGAAGGAGAAGAAGGAGAAGAAGAATGAGGAGGAGAAGAAGAAGAAAAGAAGAAAAACAGAAGGAGGAGGAGGAAGAAGAAGAAGAAAAGAAGAAAAAATCGAAGGAGAATGAGGAAGAAGAAGGAGAAGAAGAAGAAGAAGAA